TGTCGAAAGATTAAAAATTAAAAAGTTTTTCATTTGGAAATAAAAAAAATTTAAAAATAAAATCATTTCGCGGTTTTTTTTAAATAAAAACAAAATGGCGGCTTCGTTATTTAAAAAAAAAACAAAATGGCGAATTTGTTATAAAAAAAACAAAATGGCGAACTTGTTATAAAAAAAACAAAATGGCGGATTCGTTATAAAAAAAAACAAAATGGTGGCTTTGTTATTTAAAAAAAACAAAATGGTGGATTCGTTATTTTAAAAAAAACAAAATGGCGGATTCGTTATTTTGAAAAAAACAAAATGGCGGCTTTGTTATTTAAAAAAAAACAAAATGGCGGCTTTGTTATTTTAAAAAAAAAAAATGACGGATTCGTTATTTTCTTTTTATACAACGTTTGAAATTAACACGACAACAACACTAAAAAAAAAAAAATTATTTCACAACAAATACAATCCTCTAACAACTTCAAATTTATTTAAAAGTAATCGTTAGCATTATCATTATTATTATTATCATCATTCGAAATTATTTATCACGTGGGTAGGTTGTAAAAAAAAAAAAAAGTACGCGCGTCGAAAAAAAAACCGTTTGATACTTTTATATATATATTGTCGTGGCCCGATTCGATTATCGATTCACAACGTTGATCTTCCTCCGCGTTCGTGGTATTATTCAAGATTGAAATCGAACACACTTTTAACGAAAGAAGAATTATATTGATTGTAAGCAACATAAGAACATTTTACAACATGTTACATGTACAGAACAAATTAGTCACTAAAATAATGTTATGAACACTACTAGTTGTAAACACAATCACAAAACTAGACCTAGACACAAGTTGAACTCTAAGATATCAGGAGAAACCGATGAACTAAGAGTCGAACACCAAGAACGAAGAGTTGTGCAACAAGAACCAAGTGCTGAGAAACAAGAACCATGGCTGAGACGTTCAGCCTCCTTTTATAAGTTCTGACTATCGCTAGACATTATTCATTCACTAGCACTTAAGATTAGATAAGAAAAGCGAAGCTTCTAGAAATGCTGACTATGTGTCTGCGATATGAATAGAGTCACTATCTCCAGACATGCTGACTTTGCGTCTACCATGTGAATGGAATCACTATCTCCAGACATGCTGACTTTGCGTCTACCATGTGAATGGAGTCACCATTCCCACTCATTTATCAAAAAAACACCACATCCGACATGGGTTCATAACAATATATATATTAAATTAATTTGACTTTTAGAAAAAAT